CCGACAGTTGTTTGGAAATTTCACGCGGGAATCAAACGGCTGGTGCACAATGTACGCACCAATGTACATACGAGGGTTGACGGCTCGATTGGAAATGGGGATGTGTACGCCTTCGGGGCAGGGACTTCGAAACTGCTTTAGATTCCACGCCAGATCCCAGATGCGTAGGCGGTTTTACGAGTGGCTGTATTTGAACGCAGGATCGGAAGGCGCAGTAAGATCAGAAAAATTACGCGGGAAAGGATGAAAAATCGTAATGCGACAGAGAGGGAGAGAGAAAAAAGAGCGACAAGACAAAGACACAGCAGACCAGCCATTGAGGATATATTCACGGTGTTCCGCCTTTTGTCTTCGTAATCACTATTGTGCGCTTGGATTCAGCACCGAACAGGGCACCAGATGTGCACCATTGCACAGCCAATGCAACGTAGTGTTCATCGGTTCGGCTAATTTCGTGAATACGCTCACAGAGAGACAGAGAGAAAGAGAGAGAGCACAGAGGAACTTAGCTTTGCAATAGTAATCGCGATATAAACGAAGTTACGATCTTATTCACGTTTATATATATATATATATATATAGACGTATGAAACAATGCAAAATTAAATTTGAGAAAAATGTATAACACGACAGATTGCATTTTGTATTTTTCAAACGATCGATTTTGCATTACGAATTGCTTCTTGTAATTAAACGTCTTCTTCAAAATTCTTCAACTCTTTTCTTTTTTTTTTTTTTAATCTTTTATCATTCGTTTCCTCTCTTGCGTACGAAATAAAAATTTTATCTAATTACGCCGCATCGTTCCGCGTGCTACGTAGAAACCTTCGCTACTATAATTATCAAGCCATTCTCGCGTAGAATCATCTCGGTAGCTTGTACGGATAGTCATTTGTAAATTAAAGGCGAAACCAGTTTCGAGGGTGAAACGGTCGTATAGTAGGCGATGTATAGACGCGGTTGCGTGCAACGGAATGCCATGTTGATACGGCCCTGTGCACGCTAGCCGCGTGTACCCGCGGTATTTATCATTCGAACGTGACTTACCTTTACCGGACGACGGCGTAGAGAGGCAGGTAACAGCCTCTGCGACTCATCCTGATGCGTTTCCGGGAGAAAGGGCCCCAGAACTGGAGTTCATTGGTCACGGATGAGATTGTCCAATGTGTGCGAGAAACTCGATATCGCGATCGACGAACGCGCGTTCAACGCAGTCAGCCGAGGTAGAAACATTGGCGGGAAATCGCCAATCGGGACGCCAGCAAGTTGAGAACAGACGAGATTGTTCGCATCCGAGCGAACGTTTCGCAACGACTTTGCTCGCAAAAACGACGTCTTTGATCGAAAACGGGATCACGAGTCAAGGTTAATTCATTGCACCAGTTAAACGGTCACACTTGTTGGCTTCTTACGGTTACGAATCTGACGAGTCACGGTTTTTCTACGGATTATCGAGAGGATTGCCACGCGAAGCGCAAATCACAGACCGCCTTTCAAACGTCGAATCGTCCCCTACCTGAAGCGAAATTCACGGAAATAAGACCGTATCGCAATCACGATGCACGCAGTTTACGAATTGTTGCTTTCACTAGCGGCCGCCAGAGCGTCGATGTTGCGAAATTCGTTCCAGCCAATCAGATAGATTATATCATAAGTGACATTTAGCCAGGACAGATCAACCAATTAACGCGCTTCTTTGTCTAACGGTGAAAAGTTTCGTTGCGAGCCGCGTTAGCATCGGTTTCGTCTTTACCGACGGAACGCGACATGGCGTACAGTGTTGAGTATCGTTACAATGTCGTGTACACGGTTACGGTTAAAATTTGAATTCGAATTTAGAATTTCGCTAACTTCGCCGATCTTTCTCGTCCGTGTTGAAACATTTTTCTGAGTGTTGACGACAAGTGCAAACTATGGGCGAATCGTGGACGAGCCGGAGCAATCGTGGAGAGAGGGTGCAAAGGAGTAAGTGAATATAACCTTCCACTATTAAATAAAAAAATAATCGTCTCTAATATAGAATCTCTCTGGCGAAATAAAACTGGGTTTCACGCTGTTCCATTAAAATTGCACGCAAACAAAGCATTCCCTTCCGCCCGAAAAGCTTCCTATTCTTTGAAAAATATCAACATCCGGTTGTTTCCGGTAGCTCGAAATGGCGAACTCGCGTATCCTCCGCCACTCTGAATACCGCGTTTATTTATTTTTCTTAGTTTTTGATCCGCTCGAGTGGGTAGCTTCGCGATAGCTTTCGTTCCATAGCCTTTCGTCTCGACATTTCTCGATACAATCAACAACATAAACATGTTTAGCCCGATACGATCGCTGTTTTAAGAGTAGAAAATGTTGTCCTGTCACGTAACCTTGAACCTCGTATGACCGGAAACATCGCATTAGTCATAGGTACCGTTCTGTCCGTGCGAGCGGCCGTAATGAGCACCGACCCGTTCAAGAAATCACTTGGCACGAAACTCATTTTGCGTACATACGTACGTACAAGTTGGTTAAATTACATCTTCCAGAGCAAACGGGGAGAATCTTATTTTATAACGAGAATGTAATGCCCTTTTCCCTCCTGTCGAGTCAACTGAACGCTCGTTAGGGGAGCATTTAAACAAGGATGTCGCGGTAATTGGTAGAAGAGCCTCGCCGTCTGACCCGGAAGCCGCGATCTCTTCTCCCCCTCGTCTTGACATTTCGAACGCCCGATAAGCAGAAAATATTCGCACGAAAAGAAATGCATACGCCGGCGCTCCTTTGCGAGAGCCGACGTGGCGACCATTGTTCCGTTTCGCATACTCGTTGCCTCAATCTTCTCTATGGACAGTCGGGTATAGTCAATCTGGAGTTGCCCCGGGGCTACCGAATTACAATGGAGAAAGAACCGCCTTTCCCCAGCCGTAGCTGGCCGCAAACAGGCGTCCAAGTCGGACACAGGTGCATGCAGATAACCGTGCCCGTAACAATATGCCGCACACACGCGTAGCTGCTCTCTTCTTTCGTGAACAGCCACACACGTCGTTATCTTAAAAACGAACGCGCGGCCAAACTTACAGCGACCTACGAAATTTTCAGCGCCAGAGTGCACGTGGACGTGTGTACATGTATACTTAATAAACAAAATGGCAACGCGGTTATTATGTCGATGGGATATCGCACGTGAAAAAATTGGATTGTGTAAATTTTTTCAGACAAATGTATTCACGTACGCTACGGCACACGCGCTTTTACAAGGCAAATAAGTGGTAAATTTTGCGTTAGGTAATTGTAATTAAAAAAGTAACTCGAAGACACGAACGTGTAACAAAGAATTGATAAATTCATCTAGTGCGCGCGGATCTATGAAACTACGTAGGAAACAATAAACAGGAGCATATTTGCGTGAAAAAATATTTGCAATGTAAATTTCACGTGCGCAACGCCGTTCTCGGTAATATAACTGAAAAATACGAGCTTCGAGGGAAACTTTTGAGCGAACAAAACGCAACGGCGAGCGTTTTTATTTTAAAACAATACGCCACGGATGGCCGAACGTTTCTCCTCTTAGCAAAATATCCTCGCTCCATCCGTCGTATGTACATTTTGGAAATTATTAACAGCCGCTGCATGTGTCGGGAATAAACGCGTAATTATTTAGTTTGTAAATATATTCGAGACGACCAATTTGATCAAAATGTGAAAATATATATATATCGAGAACGTCGCGTTTCCGTGCTGACGAATTCCGCCATATGTGCAACAAAAGTATTAACAATTCGTCAATTGATGACAGAGACGCATCGTTCTGGAACCGTTTTGTTTAACGCGCAGTGTTCTGTATCGGTTGTACCATTAAGGAAATATGATTCACAGAGACGAAATAGAGTTAAACTCGGTTGACGAACAATGTTGAAAGCCCGGTTCGCGTAACAATGTCGGCTTGTAAAATATCCCGGTTACGTGGATATGTGTGGTGAGGAACGAAAATAAACGAGACCGACAGAAGGGAAGGGCGGGAGGGGAGGGATGGATCCCGTGTCGAGCAGACATTGAGATGTGTGCAATGGTTCAACGTATGAAGGTGGTAGCCATGGCTACCTGTCGCCGAGAAATTGCACGTTTATGCAGATGTTCCAGACACCGGAAAAAAGAGCGACGTGGAAAGGATGCCGCGAATCGGAATGCGGCATGGTTTTATCGATTCCTTCCGACACCAGACCCGACAATCGACCAGTCCTGTCGTGTTTAAAATGAAAACCACCCGACGCCGAGTCGAGGCATCTGTAAAATATTTCCTTGCCTCTTCGCGACTCTCGCAGAATTCCTTTAAGTATCTCTCGATTCGGTTTCCTTTCTCGTTCGTGTTTTTCCTTTTTTTCTTTTTGAAAGAGAAAATCAGAGCTAAACCGATAACATACGACAACAGCGTAAAATAAATATGCGTCACTCTTTCAAAAGCACAACGCAGTGAAAAGAAAATAGCGTTCTCTTTTTCTCGTTGTGCGCGAGTATAATTGACTCAAATTAACACGAACGAGTTATTCGCCGATGCGTGCCTCTCGATCTGTCGTTCCGTAAAAAATTAGCCGTTCAAACTAAAGGGAGACAAGGGTGGATAGCGAAGCATGAACGACTATAGGAACAAAGGGGTGAGCAAAATCAATCCGGTGAACGCGGGCCAAATTGTCCTCCGCCGGACGTGATTAGCGCGTTGTTTAGCTTATGGGTACAGAATAGCCCGACGAATCTCGCAACTAAAACACCCCTGGCGTAAAACGAGCATTTATTTTTATTCGCCGTGACTAAGCGCGATGCACGCGAGAAATATACGTGCGTTCTGTATGAATATTTACATTCCACCGTTCCGTATAAATAGTACTCGGCGGGGAAAAAAAAAAAAAAAAAATAGGTTAAAGCGAGGACAAACACCTCCCCGCCATAGATATCAACCGGAAGCGTCCGCAAATTCTCCTCTCTCCGTGTTCTGCATTGCGTATAATTTTCCTCGGGCCTATAGCACGCGCACCGTGTATTTCTCCAAAAAATTTCGGCAAGTCTCGGCGCGTTCGCACTGAGAACATCGTTTTGGTTGAACACTGCTTCTCCGCTAGTCGGACGAACTTTGCTCCCTTAGGATTTGCCTCCTCTGAAAACAACGCTATCTATTTTGAACGTCCTTGGACAACAAAGATTTATCCACGTCTACTTTATATCTATTGTAATTCTGCAAAGACTCCTGAGATTTCTTCAGCTCGTCTATTACGTATTTCGTGTCCTCCGCCTCCATTTTGGAGTCTATACCGTCGCCGTAAGTGCTGACGCATACCACCGTAGAGGAGTCATCCTTTTCGGACATCGGACTCCCCTAAATACGAGATTTATGGATACAGTAAGAACAGAAAGAGAGACAGAATCTCGTCGAATTTTATTTTTTCTTTTACCTTCGATTGACCCGAGTTGGCAGACTGACTGGAATATCGAGGCCTCTTGCAGGATAGACAGAGCATTCCAAAGGGATAGATGAAGAAAAACGTCAGGTTTAGAAAAAATTCTGCTACCCTGAGGAAAGACCAGATCTCGCGTTACAGTAAAATTCGAGGTCCGTAAATCAAGCTCAGACTCCTTCTACTTACCTACAGCAAATTCTGACAGACTTTCGACCCGTGTCAGGATGAACGGGTTGCCCGTATTGATTAAACGCAACGTTCCTTGATTTCAAGTCTCGTTCCAAGTACTCTGTCATTTTGTGCGTCTCGAGTATATCGTCTAATCCCCAACGACTCACTACCGGCACGCATATGCCAATCGTCCACTTGAGGAAACCTGAGGAAGTAGTTCTCGTTTGACTCGCTGTCAGGCGGAAAACGTCGGATCGATTATCGATCTGTACCTAGTGACAGGAAAAATAGCAGCAAAGTAAATAAAACTAGGCAAACGATCGTAACAACGTCGGTCGGCCAAGTTAGTGGCTCGACGCGTTTTATCAGAACGGGGCCTTGAAAACCAGCGGCCTGGTAATGTTCCTTTGACATTGGCTGACAACGCTCTTCCTCTCGGGAGTCGGACAAGCACGAGCACTCGCAATGTCCCACGCAGGAACAACGATCCATTTTTCGTACCTTTATCTCCCTCTGTGCTGCTGGTTCGTCGTTGCGGTTCAAAAGCACCACTGAAGACGACGAAAGGAGCGATGAAAAAAAAGGGGAAAAAAAGGAGTAGCTTTCTTTTTACGGTGATTTAGTCGCTTCGGATGAAAAAAAAAAAAAGGAGAAAAGAAAGAAAAGTGAAAGAACGTCGGGAAATTTCATTGACGGTCGCAACATTCACCGGAGCAGGAGAATTCATTTAACGAGACTCTGCCGTTGAGATTCAGAGCTACTTTACGATCGCGATGGGGCGAGATTGTCTTCGTCGGGCTCTCGGCGTTCAACCACGATACCGGAACTCCTTTGGGACAGTCCGTAATCCGTGCTCGATAAGAGGACGAAGATGAGCCTTTGTTGGTAATCAGCAGCGTTATAACCGTGTAATCAATTGCGGTGTTATCTATATGAACCTCGGTAAGTCGGGCAGGCGAGCTGAAATTTAATGAAAATTGTCTTCGACTTCATTAACCATGAAAATTTAGTTTGCCACCGTTATATGACGCGAGACGTTTGAAACGTAACGCGGCACGCGACAACGGTAGAAAATGGCGACACACCGATCTCTAAGATCTACGTTATTCGTGGATGGCGATTCGATCGTTTTCCTTTTTCTTTCTTTTTTTTTTCTCTTTTTTTTTTGAAATACTTGGAACAATTGGCGGACGGAGTTACGGTGGAAACATATTCTCTCCGAAGCGATTATCACCTCCGAAACTCACCCGGCTGTGAGAAGGTTATTGTAGTCGTCCCTGAGTTCGACGTCGATCACAGACACGTGCAGGGAATGGTACTCCAGAGCGAGGAACTCGCGGCTTCCGGTTCCGTTCACGTTGTACTTGATGGCTTCGTTCGGCACCCGGGCGAAATTGCTCAAGAAGTAGCAACCAGCCCGCCCGGATTCCCGTGCTTCCTACCAGCACGTGACATTAGATCGAACGTGTACCTTTCGATAACACCCGCCAGTTTACGGAAATGTTCCGCCACTTCAGGAAATATTCCGCCCACCCTTTCGTTTCTGATCCGTTAATAGACGACGTTGCTTATTCGTTTGTCCGGGTACAGAAAAAAAAAAAGTTCGTTTCCGTTACTACTACAGAGATCCAAAGATAATTTCGCGTGCAACGCGTTGAAACGCTTTGCGCAACGCAAATACTCTGTCGTGTCGTTTCGCGTGTATAATAATATGAATCATGTTTATTTAGATGAAATTACGCGTAGTTTGCATGCAGTCGCTACAATGAATTCGCTTCGCGGAAACCGCCTCGCAGCTCGCACAGTGTTTTATGAACGAACGTTTAATAAATTCCGGCTTAATAAATTACATTAACGTAGCAAATAATACGGTCTAAACTCTCCCTTATGTGTCAGGTGCACAACAGTGCCGGTCGGATCTACCTCTCTCTTTAAAATCTATAACAATTATCAAAACAAGCATTTAAATTCGATTTGAATTAAACCAGGTAGCACACGCAGCGCTCGAATTTTGGACGATTTAATAAACTGGGTGCAACGTGTATCTGTGTTCGCTTGTTATTTATCCAATCGAATTAACTCGTTGAAACTTAGGTAAAGTTATTATCTATGGGCTAAAATTATACATCGGGTGAAAAATAAATCGACAGAGGATAAGTTAATCTTATTATCGGTCCGTTTTGTTGCGGTTGTCGTCATACGTACGATGTCGTGTCTCCAGTAGTCCAGTGGCTGATTTTTCAAACAGGTTCCACTGACACGTTCACACCGATCCGGTTGACCAGCGAACGCCGTGAATCCCACGCCAGCTTTGTCACACTCGTTTGCATCCTCGTTGATCTTGTCTGCCTGCACCACTAGGTACTCGCTTGACCATCCTGCACCATGTAACCAGAACTTTCGCTCTTACATTCCAATACATAACTAACCTCGTTATTCGGTCTTTTTTTTTTTTTACGGAATGATTTTCAAAACCTTCAGCCTCTGAGTACTTTGATCTTTTCCCAGAAAGCGTCGATGGTACCAACAAGCGATCCCTCCGCGGATTCAAACTGTACTCGATGCTCGACGTCGTACTCACATCGTCGTACGCAACGATTACCGTGTTCTCTCTATTCCGATAGTATTTATCGAAGGTACCCAATCTGACGAGATAAACGTCCTGTGTAGCGTGAATCTAGTGACTCCAAAACTCTCAAATCTATCTCTACTTGATCTCAATCGTCGTTGATCAACTCACCTCACGATCGAGCCGTTCGTTAAGTCTTTCCATCGGATCGATCCACTCGACGTAGCGCGTTTCGTGTAAATCTGAAGGTAAACCTTGTGATCCACTACAGGCTCTTCCAGTTGATACACCGAGTACCTGAAAGATTTCTCACGTCATTGACTTTCTTACTCTTGCTCGACCAAGAAAAAGAACACACACACACACATACACACACACGAACATACACATTGAAACGAACCATAAATCACTGAAACGTAGGCAGTGGGCGGACTCCAAATATTTTAATGGATCTACGTTTGGGGGGTGTCTGCGATCCGAGCAATCTTGGCCGCCCCGAATTTGCGGTTCTTCTTTCGACCCATTTTCACCAGGCAATTTTCTCGCAGACTCGGTGTTTTTCCTCCCTTCTTCTTTCGTCGGGAATTTATCACGATCCCTCCATTTGATTCCATAATCCACATTCGAAGGTTGAATCTGCTCCTCCTCCGACAGCATAAGTAAATTCCTCTTGAAGGGCCACTTGCTCTTCGTCTTTTTGCTGTTCTTCTTGTCCCTGTTCCCCTTTTCTTTCTTCGTCTTTTTCTTCCGCTTTCTTCGACGCTTCTTCTTCGGATGCTTCGCGTCCTTCTTCTTACCTTCGCGTTCTCGTTTCTGATTTGCCGAGCGTGCATCCACCACGGCCGCTTCCCTCTTCCCCTTTACGCTCGATTTGTTGTTCCCCGCGCAAACATCGCTGTCCTTTCTCGCCGTTTCACCCCCGTTCTCGACGCTCGACTCGAGAAATTGGTCATCGACGATCTTGCCCGAGTTTCCCGGAGAAGATTCTTCTTGCGCTTTGGCCGCGTTCTTTCCAACTTGCAAGTTCGTCCTGAATTCTCGCTCACTCGACCAACGAGGACCCTTCTCTGTCTTTCCCATCGTCGAAAGAGCGTCTGCTTCGTTCTGCGCGTCAGAACGTTTGGGAAGTGGCTCGCGTTTCGTGTCGTCGCCGCCAATTATCGAGTCGATTATTTCCTTTATCAAGTTACGCTCCTCTCCCCTCGAGTTCTCTCGCGCCGCGGCGTACTCCGACTCGTCGTCGTCCTCCGAGGATTGTCCACTGTCCTTGACGCGCGCCCCTTCCCCCATCACCACCACCGTCTCGGTGGTCCCTGTGGTCTCTTGCCTACTCTCGGGCGCCGAGAATTCTCTCAAGCTCCAAAACGTTCGATTGTCGGGCACGATGACGAACTTCTTCAAATGTATCAGCGTACGGCCGGTGGCGTTGCTCGAGTTGCCCGTGTCGGCCACGAGTTTCTCCAGTTTCTTCACGAACTCCGAGATCGCCAGCATGTTCCTCCTCTCGATCGACTCCTTGCTGCCCTCCGCGTCAGCAGGTAAATCCGGCGAATCCTCAACCGCTGTCTCCATCCTTAATTTTGGTTTCGCGTAAGACATCTTCGTCTCGACGACGGTCTCGTTGGTAAGCTTTATCGTGGTCGTTGCTACGGTCGTCGTTGTCATCAGAGCGATCGCCAAGTCCGGTTTCGGATAGGAAATCTTCGCCTCCACCACGGTCTCGTTCAGGCTAGAGATGATCGTCGTCGTTCCTACCGGTGGCGTCGTCGTAGCTGGCGCAGTGGTCGTTTTCCCCACTTCTGTCCCAGACTCTACCACGTTCGATGGACCTTCCATTTTAAGATCGTGAATGCTGAGAAGCGGAGTTGTCGTCACGGGGCTTTGGAACTTGTCAGCGATCGTGGTAATCTCGATCAACTCCATCCTCAGCGTTGTGCTGTTCATCGCCAAACAACCTTCCTCTCCTACGCTTGCAACAGCTTCTATGGCGTCTTTGCTATCGAAATTATTTCCTGGCAAGTTGGACAGGTCGAGAGAACTTCGAGGCGAGTTATCGGAAAGCTCGTCGCTGGTCTTTATCAAATCGTCTTTGTTCGGAGACGATTCGTCTCGATTTTGACTTTCCGCGTTCAAGGATTCGGGAAGCTTCTCGTTTTCGTTCACGAGGTTCGAGGATTTCGAGTCTTTCTTCGAACGTCGGAGACTTTTCTTCCAGTTGTTGTTAACTCGAGACGATTGTTTCGAGTCTTTCTTCGTCGCCGGTTTCTCGCTGGTTTCGATGGATTTTTTCTGCAAGCGGAGCAGTTTTTGCCGAGGGTCCAGCTCGTTTTTATATCTACCGGCATTTCGATTTCTAGCGCGTATCGCGTCGAGGGAATACTCCCTGGCGACCGATCGATCGTCGACCTGATCGAGAGGAGCGTTCGCTCCAGACGGTTCGACGTCAAAAACGTCCGGCAAAAAATTAGCATTGTCCGTCCCGGCGGAAACGAGTGCGTCGGACGCGTCAATAAAAGAATCCGCTGACTCTAATGGAAATCGATTGCCGTGGCTGTTCGCTTTCCCATCGTCGATAAAGTCCTTCCGGAAAAATTCGGGCTCCGCGTTGAAACTGATGGACACCGGCCGACCGTACGAATCGCTCTCCAAGTGAATCTTCCCGGTAAGTGAAATTTCGAAATCTTTCCCGTCCTCGGCCTCACCGAGGTCCACCGCGTTCGCCGATCTCTCTTCGCCGACCGATCGATCTGACACCTGATTCTCGCTTCTCAGGTCGCCTCGATATCCGTCGAACTCGCCGATCGGATTATCGCTCGACCGATCGTACGAATTATCGCCCGCTGCCACGTCCTCCGAGATCTTTGAACCGTCGTTTGTTTCTTCTTCTAAAAAACCGTCCGGCGCCGGGTTCGAATAGTCGTAATTTTCATCTACAGATGCCTCGAGGCCGTTATCATCGTCTTCTTCACTCGTCTGTTCGCCGGCTACGAAATAATTATAGTCCTCCGACGAGGAATCCTGCGAGGTGATCTCCGACCGTTCCTTGTCACCGTTCTTCTTCTTCTTCTTCTTCTTCTTCTTCTTTTTCCTCCGCTTCAACGCGTCGTCTCGTTTCTTTGACTCCTCGCGGTCCTTGTCGCGGATCGATTTTAAACGCTTCCGGCGTTCAGACACGTCATCCTCCTCCTCCTCGTACTCGATATCCGAACCGTCGCCCTTGACGAAATTGTCCTCCCGAATCTTATTCCGATCCTCCTTGTCGGATCTTCGGTCAGCCTCGTTCTTGCCGTTCTGCTTGAGCCTCTGAACGGATAGCAGACGTCTGCCTCCTCGATTCGTTTCCGTCTCGCAAATGACGTTCTTTGTCCCGCGGTCGCCGACACGGCGGTGCCTGTTTTTCGCGCAGGGCGGTAGAATCCTGCCCGGAGCACCATCCGTCGCCAGATTCCACCGAACCTCGCTCCTCGTTTTCTTACCACGGACCAGCGTTCGACCGGGACTCGAACTTTCGCTGGGAAAAACACGATCGTACTTGTCCATCTGTCCATCGACGGTGTACTCGGACGTTTCGGTCGTGACGAACCATGGATGCTTGATCCACTTGATCTCGTGCGAGTTTTTCACAGGAATTTTACCGTGGAAAGCAGCGTCTTCGTTTCTTAGATTCTCGTTCCCAATTTTCGCTGTTTCTTCCTCTTGCCCGATTCGTGGCCGCTTCTTCTTCTTCTTCGAGTCCACGATTCTGCGAGC